AGGCACGTCTTTTATACAAAGGCTTAATGCGCAGCACAATGGCTATGCACGTGCGTTGTAAATCTTGATACATTTCGTTGCCGTTCTCTGCAAACAGCGACGTGGAATCGAATGGCCACGTTCTGCGTATTTTGGAAAACGTGATCCAAGACAGCTGGTTTTTAGAATTTTCTTTTCTGTTATAATAAACAGATCTAAATGAATGAAATTTTAAGATTAATATTTTGCTAAGCGTAGCCCTTGGCGTCGCGGTCGTCACTGCTTAAGCTCCCTTACAATTTTATCGTCCGTAGGTGGTTGCGTTGACAACAAGTGTCCAGGTTAAAAGTGATGTGCCATAATATACCGACATTATATCTGACATAAAATTTCAAACCGCTAAATTCACTCAAAAATGCTTGAATACTTTAAATGTTTGTTGGCATAGTGGAATAAAATATCAAACCGCTTTGAAAGTCAACCAATGGGACATAACAATCTTATAACCAATGAGTGTCCCGGCTTTGAGCCGCTGTTCGGCCGGGAAGAAGCCAGCGCTCCTTACGTGGAAATGGAGCCTACCCTAACAAATTTTATACACAAACATGACTAAGTGCTCCATGCTATTTACCAGAAACACTAGGGCCCCGTCCACTCGTGTCCGTTTTTGTTTGGAAACGAGGATATTTTTTTCTTCGGTCGGGCCTTTCGTCCAAACGTATCCGGCGAAAACGGTCACCAAAAACATCCTTTCAAAAACGCTCTTCAGAGTGGAGATTTTCAAAAAACGCCATTTTGCTGTACTCGTATGGACGTATGAAAACGGAGGTTTTTGAAAACGATTACGTCACGGTGTTGGATCCAGCCTAGCCCGAGCACGCGATGACACAAAGTCAACATGGTGGAGAGAGGCATTGCTACTCTTTCACTGCCTACTTGGGCTTCTTGCAAGTATCATGGCAAGGTTTCAGTCACATTTTGCGATGTTAGATGTGCAAGGCGATTATGCAAGAAGACGACGCAACATAATTTTCTTTCATTGCCGTTTTAAAACAACAGGAGGCGTCAAACGATTGAATAGAGGTCGACAAGCAAGGGTTCGAAGATTTTGGGTTCGTCTAGGACGTACGAGTGCTTGGTGAGACAACTTTGTTGACCAAGTAGTCACACAGGAGGAGTGGAGGAAGAATTTTAGAATGAGTCAAGGCTCTGTCTGCAAATTTACGGAAGAACGTAGACCATACATCGAGGGCAAGGATACCATAATGAGGTCACCAGTGAGTGCGTATGCTCTCATCAAAAGATGGTACCATTTTCAGCCATTTTCAGTCATTGTTGCGTTTTCGGACGGGCAAAACGATTCAGAAACGCAACATGTGGACGCAGATATTTTTTGAAACGGAGGAAAAAAAAGTCTCCGTTTTGAAACAAAAACTGATATGTGTGGCAGGGCCTAACAAATTCTTAAAATGAAGACAGATTGACAAATGATTAGTCGAAAAAATATCATTACATATTTCCTAAACATTCTTGAAAAGCAAACGTCTTCGTTTTAAAGCCTATTTACAATGTTCAACCTCGTTCTCATGGCCTTTGCACTACTTGGTGGCCGGTCGCGGCCGGTTGTACACTGTTTTCCTCTCTTTCGATCTAGAAATGGAATTATCCTACAGTTCTATACTAAAGATCATATAGTGGAAAGCGCTAAGTCAGTCCGTGATAAAAACATGGTACGGTATTCGAAACCAGTACGTCAGAACTGAAGCAACAGTCGTTTTGGTTTAGTGGAAAAAGTCTTCGTCATCTGAAATAAGAAAGTAAAAGAGGAAAATAAGGGAACAATTGAAATAATAGCCCAGACGAAATGATAAATATGAACATTGGAGTTCAAATTGTTTCTTAAATCTTCCTTACCTCAGAAAATGAGATCAAAAGTCTCAGACACAAAAGGTCGACACAATGAATAAAGATCCCTTCAATATAACCCTTGAGACTTATTTAAAATTATTTTTCTCCGGTTTTGCGGTTTTAAGTTTGCCTTGCACTGTGTTACATGTACATGCATCAGATTTACTCAACATCCCTTCAAGTATGATTACAAATTTAAATAGGTATGTGAAACATGCACAAAGTTTAAAACCAAAAACTCAAAAGTTTAAAAAAACATTTTGAAAAAGTCGAAAGTGCACTCTCGATTTTTCAAAGAGCAATATGCATACGTTATTTCACACTTTTCAGTGTGTTTGGTAGGCCATAAAATGTGGTAGTTACTCTCATAACAACCAGGCATTCAGTAATAACGAGACTCATCTGAAATATCTGTTCTTAGCTGACTGAAACTCTGATAAAAATTTCGAGAAAGAATTTATGATACACTTTAATCGATCAAGGTTTTGGGCGTTTTTGAATTGAACTTACAGCGTAAAGACGTTTATTCCTTTTCACCGAGGTCCAAGGTTACGTCATCGCCAACAAGCATAAATGGAGCCCAGTGCTTGACGTCACTGAAGCGTTCGGATTCTCTGAGGCATTTCCTGGCCAGGTTGATGGCTTCACTGGCTCTCTTTCCTTCCAGCAAATGCTGGTAAAAACAACTCATGAACTCCAGTGTAGCTTCGTCGTCAATCGCCCACAGTGAAACCAGCACAGACCGCGCACCAGCACCAAGAAAAGCCCGGGCTATGCCCACCACGCCTTCAGCCTTAATATCTCCGTGAGCACTGTGGCAGCAACTCAGCACAACCAGCCGAGCGTGAAGCTGCATATTCAGCACATCTTCCATTGTTAGCATGTAGTCTTCTTTCTTTGGAGCGTTGTAGGGTCTTTCGGAACTTGGAGGGTTTGGTGACAAAGCGATTTCACCAGTCTCCATGCTTCCATGTGCTGCAATATGTAATCAAGGGAGCCGAGGCGAGCCGTCCCATCACTTCCGCTTTTGTTGCTTCTTTGCCAACAAGAGGAGTGACATTTAGAATCTTTCCAATCATTTGTACTTCCTTCTTGGCGAATTCAAGTTGCTCCAAGCGTCTTTTTCCTTTCCTTTTAATTTCAGCTACCCAAGGATCTCCAACGAGTAGTACCTTGCCGTCACTACAGTAACGTTCGGAGGATTCTGCCATCAGTTTCAAAATGGACAGCGAAGGAATCAGCCTTACTGTGAAGGATTCGCACAAGAACTTCGAACAGTGATCACGAAATGCAGAGAAAGGAGCCAAGAGAATCGGTCCATCGGGAACAATGATCAGCTCAGAACCTTCAATTAAATCCGAAATTGGATTAATGATCAGTTCATAAAGGTTTTGTAAGGGACTGCTTTTGCTGTGTGAAATCTTTCCGTCTTCTTCACACCTCTTCTGGACCAGATCCTTAACTGTTGGCTCCTCCAGGGCACGATTCTCGCACTGAACATTACGATTAACCCGAATTTCGTCATAAGCATTTTTTGTCAAAGAATGAAGAGATTTGAACACATCTTCCTTTAAATATGCGTTGCTAATTTCCTTTCGTCGAAAGAGTACAGGCCCTTCTTTTTGCAGCACCCAGAAGTTGAGTTCTCTTGCACCAGCGGCTATGAAAACCGTTTGGGTCGTAATGCTACTTATAGTTTTCACAACGTCGCTTTGTTTGACACTTGGCTGAGGAAGGGTAAACTGAACACCATACTGGGACATCATCAGGTCCATGAGGCTTGTGCACGACCTCGCTCAGCCGTGAGAAGGGCTTCAGTAATCTTTTTTTGCTTTAACAAAACTGTCACTAACGCAATGTACACTTCATCATTTTGATGACGTAGGCTAATTTTCCATTCATCATCATTGGGCTGAAGAAGATTCCTTACGGCATCATACTGTTCCACAGATAGTTTATAAAAATCTTCGGATCCACACAAATCACCCAGGGAGTGATAAGCTTCGCCAAGATTGCCATAAGCGCGTCCCTGTCCCACTGTGTCCCCCGATTCTTTGGCAATACCAAGATGTTGTTCGTGGTACTCTATGGATTTTTGGAAATCACCGAGAGAGAGGTAAACAACGCCAAGATTGCAATAACAATTGCCTTCCACATCTTTGTCTCCGATATCTTTGGCAATTCCAAGACAGATCTTGTGGTATTCTATGGCTTTTTCTCTTTTCCCTAGAGAGTCACAAACGTTGCCAAGATTTCCATAAGCGCGTGCTTCCCCTGCCCTGTCTCCAATCTCTTTGGCAATATTAAGACGCAGTTGGTAGAAATCCGAGGCTTTTTCGAAATCACCGAGAGACAGATAACAACTGGCAAGATTGCCAAGAGCGTTTCCTTTTCCAGCCTTGTCTCCCAGTTCTTCGGCTTTTTTAAGACGCTTTTCGATATTTTCTTTAGCTTTTTCAAAATTGCCGAGTGAGAAGTAGACATTGCCAAGATTGCCGTAACAGCTTCCTTCGCCTACCCTGTTCCCCACTTCCTCGGCTAAACGGAGAGATTTCTCGTGGTTTTTCATTGCTTTG